ATTTACAAAGCAAAGGGGTGCATATCTAACAACAAATATATATTAGTTAATAGACAACACTAATTAGTTAATAGTTTATCTTACTTTTATTGATTTTTGATCAACCAATGAGTCAGTTACTGTGTAGTGTAGACTATAAAGTACGAGTATCTATCTCTTGATCTATCTAGAGCATAGATATATTATATATGTCCAGACTCCAGAGATATCCGGGGAATGGTCTGGCTAGAGAAATACCCTAAGCTAAAAGAAGAGACGAGCCACCGATATCCAGAGAGAGAGACGCACAAAAATTATTAATTTTATTCATTATGACTTGTCCCGGGGGCGCGACACACCTAGATCTTATCCCTGTATTATCTTCGTCATCCTTTTCTTATAGTTTTCCACTTGTAGGTTGTTCTTTTAATGGGTCACTGATTCAATTACCACTTATTGACCACATATAGATCTAAAGTATTGTTTATTTATTAATTTATTTATTTATTTCGTCTAGATTTACTTTATTACAAGAGGGATGGATCATAGAAGGTTCCGCTCTTATGATACTTGGTTTAAGGTAGGAACAGAAAAAGAGAGGGTGGTGGCGATAGTAATGGAGAGATCGAGAGAGAAGGGAAAGAAAATGTTGTTTCTGTAGTCAAAATTTTAACTTTTTAGAAGAATTAGAAATCAAGAATGCCATTAGGCTACATGTCAATTAATTCACAAAATAATTTTTTACAAAAGTTGTGTAGAGTCAGAAAAAATTTAAACCACATACATATAAATAGAAGTTACATATACATAGTATTTTTGTTATTATTATATGTATAACCAGTTTTTAGCTTTTCTAATTTTTATATTAATTTTGAAAGAAATTACAAATAATTATTGCTTAATTGAATTAATTCATGATCTGTCTTTTTAACAATTAAAAAGCAACAACAGTAGCAATAAAAGTAATAATAATTACTATTGTTATTATTATTACTATCACCCATTTGGCCTTCCTGTCCAGTCATCTCATACAGAGGCTATTCATAGCCAATGTTCTGATGTAGCTACATCATTCTTCCACCATTTCCTTGGTGATAAATAGTCTCATTTAACTATCTATAGGTCATATCCATGTCTTTATAATTTTTCTGTTTTTCATTTGTATTTGTTTGTACAAAGCCCTTCCTTATGTCCTCATCTGTTATAATAGTCATGATAATGATAATGATGATAATAATCTCTTTTTATAGCCTCATATTGCATTTCCTCCAAGAAAAATAGCAGATTGTATAGTCAATACTGACTATACAAAGCCTAAATTAAATGGAGGTAGGCAACAATAACCTGTAAGCAGTGATATATGTATACATTTGTTGTGTAGCAATTGTGGGCTAATTCTGGTCAAAATTCAACTTTTTTAAGCTGATTCAATTTATTATTTGCTATTCTTTTCAACTTAATTATTGTAGTAGCTATAGCATGATAGTAATTCTACGTTGTACTTGACCAATCAGATAGCTTGACTTCAGGCTTACTTACCAGCAAGTTTCCCAGAAAGTTAATAAGTAGCCCAAGAATTTAGGCCACATTTACAGAACTATGTTTTTAGTTAAATAGGACGTTTTGGTTCAAATATGGGTCTTATTAAATCTAAACAGAAAATGAATACCAAATATAAACAGCTAGAAATGCACACAAGTATTTATGAACCCTTAATGTACGCACATTGAACTTGTTAACCTTCTGT